CCCACACACACACACACTCACTCGCTACCCTGCCTGCCTACCCTAGCCACTTTCACAAAAGCACTGAGACCACCAGACTTCCAAAGGCTAGAGGCTGAATATACATCAAGTGATGTGACTAGCTGAGCATGCAGTGACACCCACAGATGTAGATATAAAAGTGGAAACCCATTGGAGGAAACCCAGCAGCGGGCGTGAAGGACGAAAAAAAACCCCCAATCCCTTGAATTGAACCAGGGGAGTGGACTATGAAAAATCAGGAAAAGGACTTTCATTTTTTTCCCTCCCTTCCCAGGCGGTCTGTGTACTTGCGGTAATTTTTAGCTCTCCGATCACACTTTGGACGTAAAAATTAAGATATTTGACCCCCCCCCCCCTCCTCAGAACGAAAAAAAGTCCAAACGATTACTTGCTCATGTTTACGAAATATCCTTTACTGCTGAGCAGTGCCTTCAAAATTATGTAATTCATATTAGTTATTATGCATTGTACATGTATTTTTAAAAATAGCAACAGCTATTCACCATCCCACCTGTTAAAAAAATCGCAGTCAAATTTCCTTTTTCTTTTGAGAATCCACTAACAATCGCAACAAATGTTTCTTCGGGAACCAAATGTCTTCTATTATGAAATGTTCTTAAAGAATTTTGTTGTACCCAGCAGAGAATACATCTTTTATGGATAGCAGAGAAAAAAAGATAGTGTATATGTTGTTCCGGGGGCTCTCCTGTTGTTTTCGAATAAATAAATTGTTAAAGCATTCATTTTCGAATCATATTTATTTTTCTGAGAGAGAGAGAGAGAGAGAGAGAGAGAGGGGGGGAGGGAGGGAGAAACTGTCATATTTACAGGCTCTCAAAATTATGACCAAGTTCTTTCGCTGTTTTAGCCCAGTATCCATTTTCACCAGGCGAAATGAGAAACATTAGAATCTAGCTGTTTTCTGATCCTTAGCAAAGAACATAAATTCCATATTCGAACCAGCGACTCATGAGGTTGAGTGTGCTGCTGAATAGCTACTAGACCAATAACAACATCTTTATAAAACACAATGTATAAATATGTACAACTTAATTTGGCAGTCCAAACATGCACGAGTGTTCTTTGGCAAGAGTGATTGAAAGCAATTTTTACGTCTTCATTGGCACAATTTGGATACTTAAGGAGGCTGGTTGCTTTGGCCCTGCCATTCCGTGCCTATTCACATCCAAGGTGAAAAACGGAGACGCTCCATACATGAACAACAGACTTTCTTAAAAGGGAACTGAACGCAGGCCTTTTGCGTGCAGTGTGGTAGGCTTAGTAATATACTCTGGACGCCAGTTTGCTAATAACTCGTTGCGGAAGCGTACTCCGGTTATTTGTGAACGTTTGAACATGCACTGTATTTAGGGGAGGGGAGGGGGGGGGGGCACTTTAGTAAAGAAGTATCACTTCGCTATTAAAAAAAAAGAGTAAAATTCTGTTTTCTTAATTCAAAACTTAAAAAGACAGGACACAATATTTACACTATGAAATATACGAATTTCTCATTTATTTGTGTATGATGGAACAAAATATGTGTCCTCTACGTCCTTGATACTCCATGGCTTCGGATTCACGCTCGGAGAGTTGAGCTGGTGCGAAAATACAACTTTTCAAAGTTTTTATTTCAAAAGGGAATGAGGGTTTGAAGCGTCTACGAAAACATCAGAGGCAACCTTTTTTATGACAAGGAAATCACTCATAGAACTGTGTTTCAGCTGTGCATGAGAAAGTTCTGTTGTCTCTGTAGCGTCTCTTTAAGGAAGTTGTGGACACATGATATGTCCGATCAGCAGATGACCAAAGGCAAATGTGGGACATATTTGGAGCCATCATACACAAGTCATGAACATGAATTTGCATATTTCAGTATGCTTCTTGTTGCCTTCTTTTCTTCTTTACATTTTTTTTTTGGATTGAGAAAATATAATTTTAAAATATGAATGAATAACGAACTTGTGCTTCATTTCTAAAGTGCCTACAAACAAGCGTTTGTCGTATGACGAGAATGCACGTTCTCAGCTAAAAAGCTAAGCGTAATGTGGAAAGAACATTATAACGATCTCGAGATTATGAAAAAACAAACGAATACGGCACCTGGACATCCCAGCACAGGTGTACAAATTGTTATTTAAAGACCAGCTGAGCAGCACCCCGTTCTAACGGGCAGTTGGCCTATTTTGTTACCGAAGAGAATAATTATCTCCCTTCTTACACATATAAAATGCGTAAACACACACGTTCACATATTATACAAGGCAGCCCCTCGCCCCATCTGTAACCACGAGGGCGTTACACCAAGGGTATTTTTTGTAGATGCTTCTGCACTCCGCTCATCCACAAACTTTATTTCCATTTGTAATATCTACTTCAAAATTGTTCAGACCATTGACGCATACATCTTCAACCAAGTGCTTGTAATTATTTTATCATTGACAGAGGAATTACTAAAAGATTCACCGACAATGATACGCATATTAAAAACACTATGTTTACTCTTGTATGTTCATTGTTCTATTAGCATCTTTTTTTCCCTCGGCACTAAACAACCGTTATCGTATTGACTTGCCCCTTTGTAACTTCGGTGTGTATAATTTCTCTAACCTCCTCCTTTCTTTATACACTCTTACCACTGGAAGCATTAGTTTTTACTGTTTGTTTTCTGGTCTAAAAAAACCCCAACGAGAAATAGTTTCAAAGTGCAGCAGTTGAGATAGAATTACTCGTATGTAGTCATTACACGGTTTTTAAACATATCGTCTCTCATACGTAGTCGTTACAGTTTTTAACCACTTCACAGTCTGTCATTTTGCTGCTAAATGACATATCGCTAGCTACTGTGAATATCTAGTTAAACTAATTGTCCGAGTGAGATCCTCGTTGCAGAATGTTCCGTCAGAACCGAGTCATCTCGTTTATGGAAACATTGTTAATAACTAAAATTAAACAAAATCAAGTAATTGCAACGCATGCGTTTATCTCTTTATATCTGCCCCCCCACTATCTCTTTTTTTTTCTCTCTCTCCCCCCCCCCCCCTCTCTCTCTCTCTCTCTCTCTCTCTCTCTCTCTCTCTCCACATTACCTCACTTGTTCGACTTACAAGCACATTTGATTAACGACAGGAAGCTAAAATATTTGTTACTATTATGTATTATAGGACGAACATCTGTTATTGGAGCAAACACTACCATTCAGAACCCAGTAGTTTCTTATTTTTCGTTCTCGTAATCAATGATATGCATTAGAATACGTTTGAAGGAGCAACTGCTGATCTCATATTCTTTTCTTAAAAAAAAAAAGGGGGG